AGTTTCCTTGATGTAAATATTTTTTTTTGTCATTTTGAAAATTTTGTAAATACTTTTCTCATTAGAGATAGATTCATGTAATTGGACTAGACTTACCGATTCAGAATATAACCAGATTTAGACTTATTATCCAGATTTAGACTTATTTCCAGATTTAGACTTATTATCCAGATTTTGACTTTTATCCAGATTTAGATCTTTTCAAGATTAGATTCTTACCTAGCTGGTAGTGAACTATGTTTTTACTTCCATTTGAGGAACGTTTGGTACGCGCAGTTACTATTGTCCAAATATTTGCATGAATGCCTAACCTCTATCAAAAATTGTTCCATAAATTGACCAATTTTTTCTCTTAGGAGAGGGGTATATGTAGCATTTGAAATTGCTACAAAATAATTTTTAGTATCGTTTGCATGAAAATTCAAGCGAATTTGCTTTAGTGCAACATTTAGAGTTGCAAAGAATCATTTTCATTTTTTTTGTTTCATACATTACCATTTTGTAAATATTAACATTTCAGATCTAGACAAGAAGTCATACTTACAGAGAACATTCAGTCTGATACTTGGTAAATAATCCTGAAGTACTTGAATGTAACTTTTAATGAACCACTTTATCACACATTTTTGAATAACAGTATAGAAACAATAACAGTCATGATTAGTAATGTCTTCTGAATTTCTATGTGCCGATGGGAGGTGATGATATAAGCTGCAGGAGTCTTTGATTTCTGGCGTTCTGATCCTAGAGGCCTAGAATTCGAAGAAATAGTTCAAGGTTGTTGTCCCTTCCGAGAGTAAACAAACGACTTACCAGTGTGTTCGCAGGTGTGATAAAGCCCATGTCGCTGGTTTATTTCAGGGATTATTCAAGGTGATTTTTCGATCTGAAATGGTATTTTCGGTGTTGGAAGAATTATTTTCTTTATTTTCTGGAATTTATTTAGGGTTATAATATTGTCATCCAAACGTCATTGTCCAGTATGTCACTCATCTTCTGTGAGTAGGACTTAAGCACAATCTTACAATGTTGTGACATAGTACTACCGAAGAAAAAGAAGACTCTTCTTTTTCTTTTCTTTCTTCGGTACTTCTTCTGTTAGTTTGGACCTAGTAATTCTTGTGTTTTTCTTCTGACCAATGAAATAATAGGATTTCATATTTGGCGCTGAATTTTGGCAGGAAGCACTTCTTTAGATAAGATAAGTTTAGATAGGGAATTTTAGGAGGAGATTTCCGGTAGCTATCTCGAGGCTTTTTCTCGGCGACCGTCATGGTGTGCACTTGAGCCAGTTTGAGCATTTTTTCTTTTCTCGGTATAATCCGTAGAAACCCTTCGGGGGATTTGAAATTTTTTTGAAATTGTTCAAAAACATCAGTGATTCTGGCCATGGACCTGTGTAGGATTTGTTCCCACTTTTCGGAGACTGCCTGATGTCCCCAGGAAGCCCTGCAGCCGGCTTTTTCAGCGTATGAAGACTCCAAACTAATTGTTCTTCAAGTCCTTCCTCCCTTCTCAGAAGGTAAGTCATATGCAGAGCAATGACTATCAACTTGGTGAGCAATATTTCCCTTTGATATCAGTTTTTTTCTGTTCTCCACGTGTCTGTCAAGAGGTTATATCAACCTGTTAATTTTTTAACAGGGTGTTAGGGTATGGCTTAGCTGCCTTCGGCTTCTAGTAGCGAACAGCTGAGGGGATAATCTCTCGACCTTGGTCATGATTCCCAAGAGGACCAGGTCGCTCATTTTATCCTGACCAGAGTCGACAGGTGGCCCAGATCAAGCCCAGTAGTAACCGGTCAAGCTGACCGGCTGAGCCACACCACTGAGCCCTACTGTGGACTGTGGAGGTCCATCAACTTCTTTGTTCCTGTCTTCGTTCCTGTCTTCATCTTCCTGAGCATGCCTACTCACCATAGTGGACCTTGGATAGGGGTGATTAGACCATTGGAGAGGACCCTCCAATAGACCAGGTTTTTTTATTCCATCATTTTTTTGAATCTGAATTTAATATTTCAACATTTTGATCATAACCATATTTAACATGTATGAAGCTCTTGTGAAGCTCTCCCATAGTACTATGTGACAGCGGTTTCAGGTTTTTTACAGATTATTGTTTAATCAATTTTTTTGAGATTTATACATCCCATTTTATAGTTGGAATATGATGATTGCTATACCAAAACGCTAGTCATATAAAGAGGTGGTAATTGTCATGGTGTAGGTTGATAAGTTTTGATTTTGTACAATAATTTTGAATTCCCCTAGAAACAATCATTTCATGGTTATGACAATTTATGGTTATGATATTTTACGGTCATATTTAAGATATTTCATGATAACATATGCTACATATTCTGACACTCATTTGGTCTCTACATTGGTCTGCACAAACCCTGTCTGTTATGGTGATAATAAATAGGTCTGAAATTTGATATGGTTTTATTCATCTATTTGTGTTGACACTGCCATTTAAGAAGATTTTTTCACATTTCTATTTCAGGATTAGGTTTTGGAAAATACTGTAAGTATCCAACTAATTGGTTTTCTCAATTATCCAAGTATCAGTAATTGTTTTGTAAATTGAGTGGCGCCCTCTAAACTTGAAATTTAACTATCTGCAATCACAACGAATCCACTTATCTGTTCTCTGGCGAAGAGCTGCCGTTCGCAAATGTGTCTTATATTTTTATGCAGTTTTGGTTTATTTCAATAAATATAAAAAGTAGGCCACAACGTTTCCACGGGTGAGTCAATATAGTGTGACAAAGCGAGATAGCAGCTCCGCTATTAGGGATGGAAGAACAAAAATTCACAGGAGTTGTAGGTCGAAGGAATGCATATTTTGAAATTATTCTCTACAGTGTGTCTACAAAAATGTGACAATTCGAACCTATGTTTTTTTAAATGGAACACCCTGTATTTTATTGCATTTTTATACTCTCTCTGAAGAGCTGATATCATCGATCTATCACACTTGGGGTCTAAGGGGAATAATTACCGAGATATAGGGCGTGAAAAATAGAGAATTTTCAAATTCAGATATGTTTTGTGTCGAAACTATTCATTATTGGTCAAAACGGCTTTCACGTCCCTCGCTTAACTTTTGATTCACTATTTACTAACATTTAATTGAAACAAATACAGGGTAGAGCAGAATTAAGTATTCTGCCCGAATTCTGCTTCATCCTGTATTTTAGTTTCAATCAAATGTTAGTAGATAGTAAATCGAAAGTTGAGATAGGGACATGGAAGCCGTTTTTCCCAATTATAAATAGTTTCGACAAAACATTTCTTAAGTTGAAAAGTCTCTTTTTTCCACACCATATATCTCAATAATCATTCCCACTAGACTTCAAGTGTGATAGATCGATAAAATCAGCTCATCAGAGAGAATATGAAAATGCAACAAAATACTGAGTGTTCCATTTAAACATAACATAAGTTTGATATGTAACATTTTTTTGAGACACACTGTATAATGGAAAATGATTTTGTAATATGCATTTCTTGCACCTTCAACTCCTGTAAGAAAATGTTTCTTCTATCTCTGATAGCTGAGCTGCTATCTCGCATTGTCACACTATTGACTCACCCTGTACAGGGCTTTGGCTATTTATTGAAGAAGATCGTGTAGAAGTCCGAAACGGGTGATCTCCGACCCATGTTATCATACATCATTGAACTCGTCTTTTTGAGGTGTATCCAAAAATCTAATGAAATTTAGGTTATTCCATTTGAATAAAACGTATGTTTGGTATGTCACAGACATATGGATCATCCTGTATAGTTGACATTATCTATGAAATAAAGTTCATATGACTGTGAACAGCATTATTTGTCAACTTTTCTCTATCTATTTTAGTCTCGATTTTAGTTTACCAGATAAGGGGGTGCCCATGTTATGTGGGATACCCTGTACAGTGCATCCCATTTTGATTGAGATAGCCAGGTAACTCGGTTGTTGTTGAAGATAGAACCTTGCGGTTTTCGCAGTGTTTTGTCGCTTTTTTCTGAAACAGAAGATGGCCTGGACTGATTTTGACTAACTTAGGTATTTCGTTCATAAGAGTCAGTGCGTTTTTGAAAATTCACACTTTTTGGACACCCCTCCATATCCACTAAGTTTCTCAGCGATAATGTCAAATTGAAAACATATGTATTCCTTAGAGGATTTCATGTAGAATCCAGTGGCACACTCTTTTTTGTTTCGGGTTATGGTTTTGGAGATACGACTCAAACTTATGATTTTCCCAATGGAATACCGTGTATGTTATAAGCTCATTAAATTCCTCTTCATTGTATTCCTTCAAAATGATATGAAATATATGAATATAGTTTTTGGAAATGCTAAAAAATCGCTGAGTCGTATCTCCTAAACATACCCCAAAAAAATAAGTACGCCACTGGAATCTGCGTAAAATTCTTTATGGGATAAGTTATCAATTCGACATTATCTCTGAAAGACTTCGTAGATATGAAGGCCATCTTGAGTTTCACAAATAAGTGGAACAGGACCGCGAAAACCGCAAGGTTCTTTTGTCAACAACAACCGAGATTGCAGGATGTTCCAACCAAAATGGGATGAACTACCTATACCTACAAATTTCAAATAGTAACGATGAATAATTACAAAATTTGTCAATCATCTTGAAGCCGCCATTCTGTTTTTCTCTAAAAAATTTTAAATTCATTGACAACGGAATACCTAATACGAAGCTTAATTAGCAAAATCAGATATGCGAGCATTGTGCTAAAAACATGAACCTGAAACATAGACAAACAGACATAGGTACGAACGAAACTTGTGAAATTGTGAGAAATCGAATGTTGTTGTGAAGATAGACAAAAAAAATCATGAATCACAGTATTAGTTATGAAAATAGACACTTTCTGAAGGTAATGTGTAATGTGTGCGTGTTCATTTTCAAACGCAGCTAAATTTCATAAAATTATCACTTATTGAGAGCATTCCTGATGTTCCTTGTACATACTCACCTGCAGCCCAACTTTATTATGTTTACACACTACCACAGATACATAATCTAGTTATAAACACTGGCTAAGTGGCTGGCTGCCTGGCACTAGTCAAGAGTCGCACGCGCACACTGCAGGAATTGCAGGAAGTAGACAAACAAAAAAGCTTGTTGACAATAAATCGCGGGAACAGCAAGGGCAATGTTGCCAATCCAGTGAATTTTTCAATAAAACTGGTGGTTTCGAACCTCAAGCTTGTAGAACCACTTCATACAAAGACACGCACGATGTTTAAAAATCATAATAAGGATTTCCTCTCGTGCGTTTCTAAAGATAAAAAAAATGAAAAAAACGAACTGATTATACCATAATTAAAGGCTCCAATCGTAGCTTATCGCCGATTTTCTGCACTTTGTTTTTTCAAAAAAATCATGGCGAACCGAACCAAAGTATACCATAATTCAAGGCTATCTTGAGGCTCATCGATTTATTTGCTAATCGTATTTCACAAAAAATTGTACAAGTTCAACATTAACAGAACTCAGACAAATCGAGCCCCAATATTTATCGAATAGGGAAGGATTATTCAAATAATACTTGAGGGCCATTTCAGGCTCTTCGAACATTTATCTTTATATACTGTCTGTATGTTCTTCGAGGAGGTAGGATGTTAATTTTACGCGATTTTTTGAGTTTCCTCTCCTCGTATCTGAAAAAATGTATGAATTATTTATTTATATACATGTATATACAGGGTGATTCAGGTTTTGAACTACAAACTGAAATGAGTGATAGATCTCATCATTTTAATCAAAAAAGTTCTTATAAACATGGATCCGATCTCGAACAGTAGCGGAGCTACAGGGGGTTGAAGTTGAGTCTATTAATAGAAATATCCCGCTCACTTTCGAGGATATCATTCTGAAATTTGATGTGGTTGATACTTTCTAGGAGATCATAATTTCAAGCATTCTCAAGATTTTCAAAATCTACAGGGTGATACGTTTTTGGGGTAGAGGATTTTTTATTCCTCCTAAACTTCTTTGTAGTACGCCTCTGACATCTTCCAGTTACCGAATTTGATGGATCATCCAATTTAAAGGCTGTTTTGCCAGATAATTTTTTCTCGAGAAACGAACCGTTTCCGAGATAAATAAGCATTTGCATTCTAAAACATGTCAATTTTGCATCCCAAACTTTTTTGTAGTACGCCTCTGACATCTTCCAGTTACCAAATTTAGTGGATCGTTCAATTTAAAGATTTTTTTGCCGAATGATTTTTTCTTGAGAAACGAACTGTTTTCGAGATAAATAAGCATTTCCGTTTCAAAACATGTTAATTTTGCCCGAGATTTTATTTATGTTTCACTTAAATTCTTTTCTTGAATAAAATTCTTTGAAAATGCAATAAAATGTACTAAAATTGCAACGTTTTTGAGCATGAGTCCAATCTGGATGAGTAGCGGGATAAAGACAATTTTTTTTCTAGATTCTAAAGGAAACAAAAATAAAATCTTATGCAGAATTAACATGTTTTAGAATGGATATGCTTATTTATCTCGAAAATGGTTCGTTTCTCGAGAAAAATTTATTCGGCAAAAAAGCCTTCAAATTGAATGATCCACCAAATTTGATAAATGGAAGATGTAAAATGTAAAATAAATTCATCTTTAGTTTTTATTTTATACTATCATCAGCTTAACGTTGAGCTAGCAGAATCCACGTTTTCTTGCGTATATCGAAGAACAATGAATTCGGCAATGGGGTAATGAATTATTCTTAAATTAGCCTTGAATTATGGTCGAAGAAAAAATTGGAAAATCTAAGGTGATGGATCTGCTGGCTTAATGGAGGTCGAATATTGCTTTCAGTGGCTGGTGGATTTTCCTAGTGGTTTGGTAAAATTCAAATGCACTTGCACGTTTCGAATTATTTCATTTTTCTATTTGGCGTCAACCCATGAAGGACTGGCGTTGCCATATGGCAACACAGAACATCATTGATAGAATCGGTTCTGGCAGTCGTTTGTTCAAAATGTATCGCCTTTTTTCAGTCTGGGTTGTTAGTTGTGTGGATGAGCTATACCGAAACACTTGAAGATTTGGTATTCAATCTGGTTGCTCATGATTATGTGCTTTTTATTCAGCGGTTTGAACATATACGCAAAAACATGGATATTCACTTCATGTAAGTATTGAAATAAATATTAATACTCATTTTACCTCTCATATTGTGTGTGATTCAAATACCCAATTGCTATGTTACATATAACTTCTAGGTGTTGGTCATCTTAGTTTTCGAGTTATTCAGTGCTTAAATTATTCGTTGCCGAATGATAACGCTAGTACATAGTGCGATATCAAAATTTGTGATTTTCAATATTTATCATTGTGATGGTCTATCTTTGGAAGATGCTTTGGAAATTGCCTAATCAGACGGTTCGAACATGGAGAAGGTATACATAGAGCCTCCAGAGAGTCCCAGGAGTTGACAGATGCGAGGACTCTGGAGAGCTGAAAAGATGGAAATCGAAAATACCTCGGAGGATAATTCGAAAAGAAAGAGAGAAAAAAACAACACATCCTCAGGAAGATTAGAAAGGAAGGAATCAGAGTTGCAAAGAAGGGACGAAACTCAAAAAGAAAGTGTGATTGTATTGGCAAGCCTTCCTGTAGTCAATCAAAGAGCATTCAGCCATGTTTCGGATGATTCGAGGTATAACAACATGGGACATTACTTGACCAAGGTACAAAATAACAAAAAAATAAGATGTGCTGGAGAAGAATGCAAATCCATCATGGACTGCAACTTGAAATTTCATACTAATTTCTGATATGTTTCCTATGATTCAATGAATAATATATCAAATGAATTATACATTATTGTACCTCTTCTGCTACTGCCAGTACTGCCTCGGCCTAGCGTTGCCATACGGCAACAACTGATTCTTCGGTCAAAAACTATCGCAAGTGACTCATTCAGATGTTAATTGATGCATAATGAATGAAACAACCTACTTTTAACAAGAAATCTTCAGTTTTGTGAAATCGAATAATTCCGTCCTTCATGGGTTAAAAGTCATAATGAAACCCAAATGCGTATCGAAACAGCCTATGTTTCCGTACTCAAATTTTATTTTTTCAAGGTTGGTGACATCTAACTGACAGGCAAAAATATGACATCTATGGACAGCATCTTGTAATCTCATTCAAACCATTCGAATGTTTTACCGTGTTACCAACCACTCCAAATGTTACCAATTTCTGGTATGTTTATATCGATCATTTTTTCTTCTATAAGAAAGTACATATGATGGCAAAATAGAAAAAATAGTATATTACGCATGTTTCATAAGACATTTATTGTCGCACGCGTTGTTTGGAGTACGACGAGAGGAGCGAGTGTCTTATAAAACTTTATAATAATATACTATTCTACTATTCTACTTAATTTAATTTGCAGGAGTATTTAATTTTACTGCGTAGGCAACATTGCTCCTAAGAATGATGTGTCATCGAAGAAACCATCGGCGTCGCGGAGGACAGTAGAAGGTTACCTATATTGGCTTCATTCTGACAGGTTGACTTTATTACTTATTTATAGTAAAAAAAACGGCCGATATATGATGGGGAAATTGAAATAGCAGAAATATTTTTCATGAGGATAGCATCCGCACATTAATTGAAATTGGAGTAATGTAAATTGTTTCAATGAATTAAAGAAAGTGAATTGCTCTTCTTAGCGCACTTTGATCGTTGATATCTCAGAAACTATAGGTCCTAGCGATTTTCTCTAGGTGTCAATCGAATCAGGACGGTCTGTTTTCAAGGAAATGAGATATTCGCGAAATTTTTGCGTTATTCCGGCAATAATTATTAGCAGCGGAAATTCGTTGTATCGTCTCTCGGTTTTTAATTTTTCAATTCTTGGTTTAAAATTCTGAAAAAATTCAAGAAGACTGATTAGGAATTTCAAAACTAGAATATGTGATCAGATATCCGAATTTTACTACAATAACTTAGTGGTGTTTCCATGAATTGAAGAAAGTGAATTGCTCTTTTTAGCGCACTTTGGTCGTTGATATTTCAAAAACTATAGGTCCTAGCGACCTTCTCTATGTCCCAGTAGTTTCAGGACGGTCTTTTTTCAAGGAAATGAGATATTTGCGAGAATTTTTCACGTTTTCCGGAAATAATTGGAATCGAAAAGTCGTCTCTGGAAGGTTTCTCGTTTTTTTCGAATTTTTTCAAATCTTGGTTTAAAATTCTGAGAAAATTCAAGAAGACTGATTCGTAACATCAGAGCAAGAATATGTGATCGAATATCCGAATATTTATATGAATGAAAGAAAGTAGATTGCTCTTTTTAGCGCACTTTGATGGTCGTTAATATTTCAAAAACTATGCGGGTCCTAGCGACCCTCTCTAGGTCCCAATCGATTCAGGACAGTCTGTTTTCCATAAAATGAGATATTCGAGAGTTTTTTTGCGTTATTCCGGCAATAATTGGCACCAGAAAGTCGTTGTATCGACTCTGGAAGCTTCCTAGGTTTTTTTCGCAAGTTTAAAAAATAATTTTTTCAAATATTGGTTCAGGATTCAGAAAAAAATCAAAATGACTGATTCGGAACTTAAGAACAAGAATATGTGATCGAATATACGAATTTTTCCACAATAACTTGGTGGTGTATCTATCAATGAAAGAAAGTAGATTTCTCTTTTCAGTGCACTTTGGTCGTTAATATTTCAAAAACTATAGGTCCTCGCGCCCTTCGAGAGATTTTTTGCGTTATTCCGGCAAAAATTGACGCCGGGAAGTCGTTGTTTCGTCTCTCGAAGGTTTCACTATTTTTTTCGCTAGTTCAAAAATGAATTTTTTTAATTCTTGGTTTAGAATTCTTGATAATTTCGAGAAGACTGATTTGAAACTTCAGAACAATAATATGTGATTGAATATCCGAATTTTTCCACAATAACTTGGTGGTGTATGTACATATCTATTAATGAAAGAAAGTAGATTTCTCTTTTCAGTGCACTTTGGTCGTTAATATTTCAAAAACTATAGGTCCTAGCGACCTTCTTTAGGTCCCAATCGATTCAGGAAGGTCTGATTTCCAGGAAATCAGACAATCGA